CCCACAAGTGTTAAAGTCACCAAGTCTGGGGACCCTTGACCTAGAGCAAAGAATGCAGTAGGTAACCTGTGTAATTCTTTTGGAATTGGAATGAAATGGCTCTTCCAGACTAAACCAAAATTCTAAGATCTTACTCTGCTTGAATGTTCACTTACGATGAGTGCTGTTAAAATTCTCCATATTTTGGAGTAAAATTTCTCCTTGTCATAGTCAAATGCAAAACCTTAAATGCAATCAAAATTACAGCAGGTTAGAGCTAAACTCTTCTTATATTTCTGTCCAAAAGCCATTTTGTGGGCTAGACTTAAATCCCATCAGCCTATATGTGAATTTAGGATTTGGGGAGCCATTTGTTTATCACCTGACCAGGCATTTCATTTGCTATTATAAGGATCATTTCCCCAGCATGCCATTTTTAAGCACTTCATTGTTCCACTGTTTGAGTGAACGCTATATCTAAATTGGTATCATCATTACACATTCATAGAATTTGGGACATGATAGCATTTTTGATGAACATTTCTCCCCCCCCCCCGAAAAAAAAGTACTGTATGTCATAAGTAGGGCTAGGCCAGCAGTATTTCCATTTTCAAACATAAAGGCAAAACATTTGCATGTTTCATCCTTAGGGCTGTAAAATTAGGTTGAAAATGAACATGCTTAAGGGAAAGAAAATAGATACATATCCAGCTCTTGTAGTTTTGCTGGCTTGGCAAGAAGGACTAGAGGGTTGCATCAGACAGGTTGTTCTTAAGAAGATCAGAAGAATACTTTGAGGAACAGATAAGAATCAACACCTTGATGTAATTCATATTCTGTCATCTGGCATGAAAGTTAACCCTTAGCCTTGGCTGATGTTTATTTATTTATTTATTTATTTATTGGTTCGATTTATATGCCGCCCTTTTCTGGAGACTCAGGGCGGCTTACAATGCATTAAGTAATAGCCTTCATACTTTTGTATATACCTGCTTAGTAGGGCTTCCCCCCCACCCACCCAAGCAGTGTTCTTTTTTATACAAAGTCAGCTTATTGCCCCCACAAACCGGGTCCTCATTTTACCTACCTCGAAAGGATGGAAGGCTGAATCAACCTTGAGCCTGGTGAGATTTGAACTTGCAGTAATTGCAGGCAGCTGGTGTTACTTAACAGTGCTTTAGTCTGCTGCGCCACCAAGGCTCCTTACTTACCTGTTGGTCTTATTACTAATACTGTGCAGTTCAATTAGAATGCACATCAAAACTGACCAGCTGTTTTAGCATCTCATGCACAATAAGCTGATTTCATTAGCTGCTGGTGGTGTGTTTCAAATTTTTCTACTGTGGAAGTAGCTGTGCTGACCTTCTGCCCTCCCTAAAATATGTATGTCTGGATATGCATTGAATGTCTAGCAATGCAGTTTTACATAGTCAAATTAAAAATGTGTCCCCAATTAGCATTAAGTATGTACAAAGCCAGATATATCTACCTCTACCTTACCTCTACCTACCTACCTACCTCTCTCTCTCTCTCTCTCCACACATACACACACACACACACACACTTTTATTAACTAGAAGTTGGATTTCAGTTTACAGTTATGCCAAACATTGGCCTAAGAAAGTAAGAAATGTTTAGCTATGGGGTTTTTTTCACACTATTTATAAGTTTCTTTATTTATAAAGCATTTACAACCTCCAAAAATTCATGATGCACAGTAGTATTGTGGCTTTCAACTGCACTATAGCTTATTTTCCGACTAGTGATTTATAGCATTTTAAGTATGCTAACTAACGTTGTGTCAAAGTAACAGGAATGGGGGGTTGGTTTTATTTTATTTATTTCTATTTATTAAATTTAGATGCTGCTCATCTCACTGTTGAGGGAATCTGGGCAACTTTTTCAATTCATTAATTGTTGTACCTTAACTTGTCCTGCAGCAAACCCTTAAGGCAGCACCTCTCATCTGTCTCTTTCGCTTTCCCAAAGTGGAATACAATCCAGCTAGTTGGATCCCTAAAAAGCTTTCTCCTGCTGTACTACGGTATGAGCAGTAAGCTTGCGAACAAATTGAAGACATGCTGATTTCATTAGAAAGTCCTGCCTTCAAATTCTATCTTGGTGACTATAAGCTATTTGGAAAAAATGGGTTTTTACAGCCCTTCTTTTCCAATTTCCAATAAAATAAATTCTTGTCTTGCACCATGGAGAATAATTATGACACTCAAACTAAGAAACCATTTAACACAAAATACTGAAGTTCTAAATACACTTTTTCTTATTATAAATCTTACTGATTTTTGTGGGACATTGTCTAGAACGCATGCGACTCTTTGGGCCCTCTGCTGTGTCTCCTTGCCTGGCCTGAGAAGGTAAGGGCGACGGCGGTGGATGGAGAAGCAGCCAGGGCAGAGACAGAGAGATACAGAGGGAGGGGGAGAGGGAGGGAGGGAGGGAGGGAGAGAGAGATGTCAAAAGGGTTTTGTGGTTCCTGGTGTTTTTTAACAACCAGTTCTCTGCCCTAATGACCGGCTAGGTAGGCATGCTAGGGGGGGTCATGTGACTAGTAGAAGTGAGTGATGTGGAATTGGCCACGCCCACCCAGGTTTTGTGGCTCCCAATGTTTTCTTTTCTGCAGGAAATGGGTCCAAATGGTTCTTTGAGTGTTTAAGGTTGCAGACCCCTGGTCTAGAGAGTAAACAAGCTTAGAAGCAGTCAGTAAGAGGGTTGCTTATGCATGACAGTGCTCCCAGATTAGGGAGTGAAGGTTCTCTAATTCAGCAGAAGGTACTTCTCCATAGAATTGGGCTGAAATCTGAACAAACAATTAAGCGTCACATTTTCACATTTTTATTTGAATGGAAGCAGTTAACCTATGAACACCTGTACATCAAAACCTGTGAAGAGGATTTTACAAGCAAAGTAATTTTGATCTGTTTACTCTGCATTCAGTAATACTTGCATCTTCTTTTGTTCTTATATTCCAAGGTACATGACAATTGGAAACAAATATATTAAAAAGCAGTAAGCATGGCTCTAGGTAAAACTATTGAACCTAAAATCAAAGCCAAGTTAAATAAAGCCATGTACATGTGAACTCCAAGCCAAAAGTTTTGCTCTTGGTTGAATATGGGCTGAATCCGAGACACAGCCAAGATTCTGGTTGTATCTTTAAATGGCATAGGCCATACTTTCCTGCTTTTATGAATTAATAACAAATGCATGTATTATTACAGGATCCAGATGTTACTTGAAGAATGTTTTCCTTTGATGGATCAACACTGAGTGGTTTGGAGGAGGAAGTCTGCATTTGCCAGTTGCTCTGAAGTTCATGTTCTGCAATTCCTCAGAGTAATGCTTCATCCTGTCAAAATTTTAGGGACAGAATATGTTTTCCATTGGCTTAAATGTGAAAGTAAATGAAGCAATCTCAACAACGTTCTTCAAACTTACTGGTTGGATGCATGCGGGGTCAATGGGATTGTTATTTTAATTGCAGTTCTAATCACAGTTTAGGGCTTAACTGCCTGGCATCATGGTACCAATTTTCTTGGATCTCAAGAAGCTAAGCTAAATGAGGTTGGACAACTAGGCATTTCCAAAGCTGTATGTTGGATATGGAAGAAGACGACCATGGCAAATCACTTCCATATGAAACATAATAATTTACCATTGTCATATAATCATTAGAGTCAAATTCAACTCAACTCAACAGAAATGTTACCTTTTAATCTATTTTGGGCATATGGAGGAAAAGTTAGCCTGGAAAACTGCAAAGACTTGAGACAAAGTCATTCCTTCCCAAGCTGATGGGCTGATGATATTTTCGCAGCCTTTAATAACTTTCCTTTGAGGATCTTCCTTATGTCCCCAAATATCATGGAACTTCCAGTGCTCAGTTAGAGTTGTTATTTTCTTTCTTTTTTTTCTTTTCAGCATGAAAAGTTGGCTCAGGAGAATATGATTTGGAACGGAGAAAAAAAACATAGGGAGGAGAACTGAACTTTTTCCTTGCTCATTATTTCAGTGTTCTTAACTGCTGTTTTCAAGGCTTTTATCTCAATGAAATCATTTGAGAGCAATGGAGACAAAGTCCTTAGGGCAGTCTGGAGAAGGAAGATGACACACACAGCGAAATAATTAAGTTCCCTGTTCTATCGTTTCTTTGCTCACAGTCATCCCCTTTCATGCTGGCTTTTCATGCAGATAATCAGAGTTCCAGATAATCTTCACTTTAAACCTGCAATTGGGATAGGCAATGTCATTGCTAAGCAACATGGTTGTTAAGTGAAACATCATGTGACAATGCCAGGCTTACGGCATCTGTTCCATTTCAATCATAAAATGCAACATCACGTAACCATGACTTGGGACTTACTACCAGCTTGTCCAGTGACCTTTGCTTTTGGGAAGCTGACTGTGAAGTGCCCAAATGGCAACCACATAATTGCAGGGACACATGACAGATGTAAGTTGGAGGACTAGTCATAAAGCTACATTTTTAGTCCCATTGTAAGTTTGAACAGTCATTACACAGTCAGAGCAATCCTTAACCAAGGATTACCTGAATATGCATTTGGCCCAGGGGTGATATTCACTTACCTTTGCTACCAGTTCTCAAATGTGAGAGAGAGAGCATGCATGCGTTTCACTCACATCCGCCACCTCTGTGCATGCACAGGGCCTTCCACCCATGCGCAGAGCATCAAAAACAGGATATGATGACATCTGGTTGGGTGGGCGGAGCCTCCCGCAGCCACCGCTACCGGTTTGCCCGAACCAGATAGAATCGGCTGAATACCACCAGTGATTTGGCCCCAGAATAGCCTCAGACTGCACCATTTGTGCAGAGCATTCATCAGTACTATAAAGCCTACAAAAGCTACAACTGCCCTTTGGGTGGAACAGAGGTCTGACATCATCTTGTGAGCAAAAATCAGTGAAGTCCAAAATTTGATACCTGTTGAAAAGTCAACTGGAATCATTAATTTGCAAGTGCAGAACACAGACAGACAGACATGTTAATTTAATAATAAGTTTTATTTGCAGTCACAGACCAAAGTACAAATATAATTGCAAAAGAACATGGGGAAAATAATATCATAAACAGTTGGCTACCAGAAGCCTTGGCTGAGAGGAATTACATCGTTCTCCTCTAATAGTTACAGCTCTTTAAAAAAAATTAGAAACCTGAAAAGTAATGTGTGAGGAGCCATCCCCTAAACAATATAAGGTCAAATTACTAGCATTGGATCCAGAAAGATCTGTTTCTAAGAGAGACAGTAATTTAGTCCTGCCTGCGATGTTAATTTATTTTCACAAAAAAGAAAGAAAAAAATTTACATCTTTGTGAGGTTAGCAAAAGGGAACCATTGGTCCACTGTAGTTTCATCATCTGCAGGGCTGAGTGGGTATTTCAGTCAAGGTTTAATATGCCGAATTCTAACCCTGGACTTGTTTTTTAAACCACTAAAGCACCACTGATATAGTTTCAGATTTCATTGTAACATATTCATAAGAAGCTGCCTTAACAGTCATGCAGACTATTGTTTGCTTGTTATTCACTGGTGGCAATTTTGTACATGTCAGGAACAGTCTTTTCAACTCTGACATCCTATAAAATGGGTATATTAGAAATTAAATTTGACACATGTACTAGAACAAACAGTAATTCTTCTGTAATTGCAACCTTCTTTTATCAGAAAGATAGCTTGATCACACTAGCAACAGCAATAGCACTTAGATTTATATACCACTTCACAGTGCTTTACAGCCCTCTCTAAGCAATTAAAAAAGTCAGCATATTGCCCCCAACAATCTGGGTCCTCATTTTAACAACCTTGGAAGGATGGAAGGCTGAGTCAACCTTGAGCCAGTGAGACTTGAACTGCCGAACTGCTGGCAGCCGGTGATCAGCAGAAGTAGCCTGCAATACTCCATTCTAACCACTGCGCCACATTCTAACCACTAGATAGATAATTTTTGGTAAACCAACTCTCATTGCTTGTTTGTTTATTAAATGTATATGCCGCCCTCCATCTCCGCAATAAGATAACTATGAGAGGCTTACTTGGATCACAAACAGATTTTGTTTTGTTTCTGAGCATATAAATAAAGCTGAGTATAAAATAGAAGATTCTTATTCATTTAAATCTCAATACAAATATAAATAAACATGTAAAAGAACAGAAAAGGTTATTCATTTTAATGCTAAGTAATATATGACTGAAAAAGAATCTAGGCTTTGCAACTACTGTATATTAAGGTGCCCAATATATTAATACTATTTATACTGTTTAATACAATTTATACTGTTCTCCTGGCTCTCATTTATTGCAATCTTGATTTTGTTTATCATGGTGATGGCTACCTGTTCATAGCTAATGCATATTAAAAGGATGCTTTCCTGCCTAAAATCGGCTGATTTTGAAAAGCTAAGCAAGCTCAAACCTGCTTAGTATTTGGATGACATGAAGAAGTCCTATGCTTTACTAAATTAAAAGAAAAAGTTAGGAAATCATCCCAGAAGATGACAATGGTAAAACATGTTGGTGTCGGTGCCAAGAAAATTACATGCATTTGTACATTTAGTCCTCAGAAACTGGGCTTTACTTTAGGATGTTTTTATTGCTTTATCTTACATATTCTTCAAATCATGAATGGGGAATTTCACCATTTTCCTGGTAGTGGTATCTTAAGCTGTTATGCTTAGGGCTCATGAGTAGGATTCCATAAATAGCTTATTGTGGTAGCACAAATCACAAAAGCACGGCTACATGATGTCTGCATTGTTCCTTCTCACAAAAGAAGCTCCTCTGTGATTGATACCTACCTATCAGCTTGATGCTTTCTTCAGATTTGCCCGGAGGCATTAATGAGGCTGGACAGTCACAAATAAACCCTAAAACGGAGCAAATTTATCAAAGCAATTGCTGCAGACAAAAATGGAAGTACCATCTCATTGCGATATGTCCTTGGAGAGATTCTCTAATCATCAATGCATGACTGCCATGTATTGGCTGAACTTCCAGTGATCGGGACAATAAAGATCTTTCTACATATGCTGTAGAAGACAGAACGCAAAGGAGACCTTCATCTAACCTATGTAATAATCCATTAGATCTTGGAGAAAACAATTGCAAATATATCACATAGATTCCCCTGTAATGGCTACAACAATGTCTGCTGGAAAAATCAATCCCTCTTTAGCAATGTATTATTGTTTTGTTGAATTTAGGGTGTAATGCTAGACAGGGTTGCAGAGACAGGGGGGAGGGAGGGAGGGAGAGAGAGAGGGAGAGAGAGAGAGAAGGAAAAGCAAGGCAGGAGCACTCATAGCCATAACTAATGCCATAAATCTCAGCTTTGGGGGATTTTCCTCCCCAAAGATTGATTTGTTTGTGACTCCACTCAAGCAATATGCCACCAAAGTACACTCTGTGTGTGTTTGTGGTTTTTCTGGACCTTTTCACGCCTCAGAGCTATGACTAGCCTATGAATATTCCCATGGCAACAGAATCATGAACATTTAACCAAGCACTGTTTGAAGATATCTATCAACCCCGAGACCGTGTATCTCACTGAGTGGAACAGCTTCTGTCTGCAAATGATACTACATTATTGCCATGACGGTGTGCGAATACCAGGTGAAATTTCATCAGGGTTGTATTTTCCACTCTCCTTCTTGTGCAGCAGGATCGATTTTGTTGCAGAGGGGGAGTTCGCACGAAAGATACAGGAAACCTGTGGTACCAGGGGTTAGCAACTGCAGTTTTTCAGGATGTTGCTTCCTTCATTTTCCTTTTTAATTAAAAAGTCAAACACGGCCCAAATATCATAAGATCTTATGTGAAAAGGCAGAAATCTTGAGAACTTCACCTATCTTGTGGAATTTCAGCCATTTTAAAAAAAAGAGAGAGAGAATGACTATCAGTGGCTTCTGTTTTTCCACCATTCACTAAGTAAAGTGAAGCTGTTACTGGTTTGGAAACAGTCTATTGTCAGATTCCTACTAAAAGCCAGCCCAGCTCTCATAAGAATCTTTGCTTTGTAATGTTCAGGTCCATCTAGTCTAGTACTGTCACTTTGATTGGCAATGGCTTTCCAGTCTAAGGGCTTCCACCTCACCATTGTTTTCAAGCTTCAATCCTTCAAAAGTAGTTTGAAAACAGTCCGTGGTTTGTTTGTTTGTTTTTTTCATTTCCTCCAGTTCAGAAACACGCAAAACCAGGAATATAAATCAAAATCCTGTCTTAAGCTTCGGGCCTTAACAGTAACAGTCATCCACTCGACCTGCATTCCACATAAGAGGAAAAGAAAGGAAACAATTAAAAAAAGAAAGTAAGCAGTCTGGTGGTTTTCTCATTCTGTTCATCTCCCGAGAAACAGTGAAAGCAACAGAATTTTCTCAATCTCACCCTTTCTTGCTCGCCTAGGCTGCTGAAGTGGATAGAGGGTGCTGACAGCATGTCAGAAGGACTGGGAGTGAGCCTGAGGTGAAGCAAAAATTCTCCCCTGTAGAAATGCTCTGCGTCCCCCCACTTCCAGCTCCAAAGAGCTGCAGGATTCCAGCTCAAAACCACCTTCAGAGGGCTCACTTCATGATCCGCTCAAATGTGGCATGAACTTCATCTCTTCCCTGACCCACAGCTAAGGCTGCTTAAAATCCTCTTTAGCTGTTCCACTTATAAAGTAGCATTTTCCTTCTCCCCTTGATCTGATTTTCATGATGGAACTCAACTAGCACGTTTCACTAATAATGTGGATTACTAACACAGCCAAGACTAGTATCTGCTCTGCTCCTACTGGCCCATTTAGAATGCCACGGGCATACCATCCCCCTTCTGCTGGCTAGGGGCTCTCTGGCCATTTTGGCTTGGGCTGCAGGAGAGACTGGACACCTGGCTTGTGCAGAGGCATCTGCCCAGGTAATGCATGACTAGTGCTTTCTGAAGCACATGCAATGCGCCTCTTTATGAACACGGATTTAGTGCTCTTTTGAAAAGAGAGGTAGACTTGTAATTACAAAACAGGCCTAGTGCTCTCTCAAGCACAGAAAATTGATTTAAACGGAGAAGGAGGGCTACAGTCTACCGCTTCTGTGTTGCGAGTTCAGTCACTATTGCATGGATTTCATGTTTTCCTCTGCTTTGAGTAAAAAGAGAATTTGCAAGGCCATACATGCATTTTGCTGTTGGTTTTTTTTTATTATTATTACTTGGCAAGCTGCAGAGGAGAATTACTCCATTACAGCTTCATGCAAATCACACAGCCTATTTCTGGGAGCTGCTGGCCATGATATCAGAATTGAATTCACTGCCAGCTCTGCCATTCCTTTTCAATACCTTTCAATAGCAGAGCTTGGTTATTATTAATCACCTTCTCCCAGTACATCCTATGCTTCTCTGCTCTTTGGACCAATCAACCAGCTTTTTTGGGGTGCAGATGTTGAACCTATTTTCAGAAATATCCCATATTGACATGGGACTAGATATTGCCACCTCTTTCCATTTTCTTCTTCATGACTAGCACTACTTTCTGGGAATACTGTTCCATGTTTGCTACAGAAATGCTGCAAGGACAGGATGAAATATTATTGTCAGATTCAGCCAATATTGCACTGAAAAAGGAAAAAAATACTGCCTCTCCCATCTTGGTGCCCTCCAGATGTGTTAGATTACATCATCCCAGCTGTTTGTGCTGGTTGGAAGCGATGGAAATTATAGAGCAAGAACTGAAACATCTCACTTCTGTCAAAAGCAAACGGTGACCTTGTTTCCCCGTGACTCTCTCAGCAATTTTTTTTTTTTATTCCTTTAATGCTTTTTTCCTCTCAGCACATTCAAGAGTTCTGTTTGTTGCTAGGTAACCTTCTGATTTAGCAGCACAGGATGAATGTCCCTGCTGGGAAATGGAAGGATACAATTAGTTATGAGAAGCCTTACAGGCTGTGGATGTCTCAAAAGCAGGCAAGACTGAAAAGTGCCAGCCAGGCATCACATACATTCCCTCTCAAGGAAGGAGATCTCTGGGCACCGATGACTAGACTACCGGGCATCATCATATTACATGTAGGCAGATTCGTTCATGAGGATTAGATTTTCGGCTGAACAACTGGGGCCAAAGCCAGAGGTTTTCTATACATTTCATATTCGGCTACTGCTGACTACACCATGATAAGAGTGTTGGTTTTCCAGACGTGCAGCTGGCGGGCACTTGGTCTTTTCAGGCAATTCCTGGTCAGCAGCTCTGAGAGTTTCATCTTTGTTCTTTATTATCATGTTTGCTAGCTAGAAGATTCTGTACATTAACCCTCAGGAAATTTATAACCAGCCTCCTCTGGCTGCCAAGATGAGCTGTAAGCTTTTGGCAGCTACAGAGCCTGACTCCAGCCCCTGCCTCGCTTTTCTGCTCAGTCTGGGCACTTCACAGCTTGCACATCCCTAATTTGTTTAAGAATTTTACTAGGCCAAGAGACTGATGCCAAGCATTGGACAGTAGGAGTTTTCTTCCATTTATTTAAGGCGCCTTGGCTTGCAGTTTTACATCATCTTTCATTGCTTCAAAAGCATGGAAAGTACAGAACTGACAGCCTTTAGTTTTCATAGATTATTCAAGCTGGTTCATTATTCGTAGAAATTGCATGGAGATTGCCCTTCTAGAACATTTAAAGAGGCATCCACTCCTTTTACAAGACCAAATGAGAGTAGCAACAAAATACAAGGTAGTGAAGGGTTGAAACAAATCTGCCTCCCTAGGATACTCAGTGGAAATCTGTTTGTTTAAGAATGCAACTATTGGCCATCTCCTTTTATAGCAGAACAACAGCTAATATAATGTTTGAAGTTAATATAAGTTAACTAGTTGCAAACAGACATTCCAGAGATATGATCTCAAGACAAAGGCAGTATTTTCTATTAATCAAAGGATGCAACAGCTGGCACATAGATATTACTATGGCAGAGATTTTGTGATATCTTACAATAATATTTTGTATTGTTGATATTATAGTAGTGAATTCATTAGTAAAACAATGATTACTGATAATCATTGGTAGATGCGGCAGATTTTTTTCTTTGTATTTTTATTTTTTAATTTTGTTATTCTTTAAAAATAAAAATTGTTATACTGTACATGTCTAAATTAAATAAATAAGTACTTTTTTTTTTTAAAGGCCTAAAATGGAGCAAAGCCTAAGCAGTTTTACAGTGAAAACATTTCTAGTGTCTGAAACTGTGGGGGCTGTTTACATTTTAAGGACTTTAATTTGCCTTAAGCAGTGAGAATATAATTAGCACCATGAACTGGGTACATCCATTCTGCATCAGGATTTACTCTTTATAAATTAAAATCAAGAATTGAACAAAATAAAATATTCAGTTTAATTTATCTCTGCAAAATTATGCCAGTCTGTCTGTCTGTCTGTCTTTCTTTCTTTCTTTCTTTCTTTCTTTCTTTCTTTCTTTCTTTCTTTCTTTCTTTCTTTCTTTGTCTTTCTGTCTTTCTGTCTTTCTGTCTTTCTTTCTCTCTAACTCTTTCCTTCCTTCCTTCCTTCCTTCCTTCCTTCCTTCCTTCCTTCCTTCCTTCCTTCCCTTCTCTCTCTCTCTCTCTCTTTCTCTCTCTCTCTTTTCACAAAACAGGTACATAGTGTTGAATGTTAAATTTAGATAAGGATTGTTATAATATGAAAATTGTCTTATAGCAAGGCAGATGATAACTGCTTAAAGTCTCCCACTTAGATTGAGGCAGTGGATAATATACACAAGTACAATCAAATTAAATTATATCAGCTGTTTAGTTTGAGTTAAAGTGACCTAACTGACCATGGCAACGGGATCTGTCCTATTCCCAAGACTTGATCCTTTTAACTGAAAGGTTAGCAAAGTTTACTTGAAGGGACTCTGGAAACATACAACCAGTCTAGAAATCAGAGACTGGTGAGGTCTGAGAGCTACAGTTTTATATTATTGTATATTGAAAAGCTAACGTTACGTTTCTGGATGACATTCAAAGGTCTGATGTTAATCTTTAAGTTCCTAAATGGCTTGTGATGAGGTTAGTTGAAGGATTATTTTTGATTCATACACTCTTGGCCTTACCTTAAGATCTCTTTCAGGAGTTCAGTGCTGATGGTATTCATAGATATTTGTAGATATTCTCTAGATATTTTGGGATTGCACGCAAGGAGCCTATTATTATTGGTATTATCTTTCATTTTGTCACAGTTACTTCTATTTGCAAGTCTTTATATATTGTTATTTTCTCCAGTTACTTCTCTTCTATTTGACTGTTTCCAGGTCCATGTCCACTGCCTTTCTTGTTCACAACAGTTAAGTCTGGATTGTTATGTGGCAAGGGCTTGTCTGTTTGAATTCTAAAGTGCCAGAGAATTTTTGCTTATTCATTTTCTATTACTATACTTTTTTTTTGCCAATGTTTGTAGTCCCCCCAGTTCTTGCTTGCAGGCAAGTGGCATTTTCTTGCAGATATTTCAGTGCACGATTGTTGCTACTTTGTCATGCCATTTTTTGTAACCAGTCTCTGCAACCTTCTTGCAGCAGCTAACTATAGGCAGTCCACTGTATCTTCAGCCTCTTTGCAGAGATGGCATTTGCTATCTGTTGCTGTCTTCTCAATTCTGGCTTGATATGCATTTGTTCTTCAGGCTTTTGTCTTGTGCAGCCAGAATTAGCCCCTCTGTCTCTTTCTCCTGTTCATAGCCATCATTGTTGTTTTTCTTTCTTGCAACTCTTCCATCAGCACAATATAAAATCCTGGTTGATCTTTCGGGTTCCCACAACAGATTATTGAAAGGATAATGAAATTGCCTACTTTCTCTCTGTTGTAACACACTCTCCTCTAACACTAATGTGCAGCTAAGTGCTTATTCCATAATAAACCACCCATGCTAATTTTCCCATGCTGTAATAGCCCCTTCATAACATATGAAATGCTTGGCTCCTGAGAAGATGATTATAAAGAAAGACGTTGTAATTTAGTGGCTGATTTAATAAGCACCAAGAGATATATGAGGCCCGCCAATGTAGTGTCACAGTTCTATTTATATCCATTTTGGAGTATAACAAGATTCATAATGAGATACATTTTTGGTGGTATTCAGGTAGTAATGGGGCTTTTGGGTCTGAAGTGAGGAAACATCTTATTAAATTACCTTTTGTTAATAGAAGATTCCCCCTCCCCTGGCTTGAAGTGTGCCTATCCTTGAAAATTAATAATGCACATTTTTATTAATGATCTGAAGTTTTATTACAAAAATAAAAGGAAAATAGTTTTCACCATCTTTAACTGAATGACAAATGTGTTTCTTTTGAAACACAACATAACACAACAGTTATAAAAAAAGAAAAAAAGAGAATGGCTGTAAGAAAAAACAATAGCCCTTTATTAAAATAATCCCTTTACTGGGTCAGCTCAAGGTCAAAAAGGAATATATCTCTTTTCTAGCTCTCAGAAACTCGGTATCAAGAAAAACAGAACACGAAGCAAAGAAGGGGACATGGAAGAAATCTGAAATGTCAGCACTTAAGAGTCTAATTTGAATATTA